TAATGATGCATTGTATCCTCCCTCTATTTGCTCTTTCTGTGCAGTACTCTGACCACCTTCCTTATTGTTTCATATCATATCTAAAGGGAAGATCTGCTTTGAGATTTTTGCCTTCTTGTGCTGGTGCAAATTTGAAAGCAACATTAGTATTTACTGTGCTGTGTTTGAAAATAAAGATAAGGGTTAAGTAATTTCACACAGTGAACAATGTAAAGAGGAATGGGCTTCTTCTGTCATCAGTAATCAATACATCTGCAGACAAGTCAATTACTGGGGCTTATTGAGTTTTTACTTTTCTATTCTAGGGTAGATTGTTATCGTACTGCTTTATTACCACGTTTTAAGAAAAGAGGAGCATGCATTTAAGTTTAAATCTCAACAAAAAAAACCCCTAGAGTGCATGCAAAAAGATTAAATGTTTTAAAGTTTGGTCAATTTACAAGTTACACTTCATTGTATCTCTCTCTGTAGCCTCCCAGAGGCTGAATCTACACCTCAGACTCAGGACCTTTGCTTCTAGCACATTTTCTTCAACAATTTACCGTTTCTACAGAGCTTCCAATCTGACCAGACTCAATGTCCTGCTGAAAGTATGACGGGGTGCTGGGCGCCAGATATCGTTTTCTTCCATCAAGTTATCTTTTTGTACGTACTCCATAAAGCTAAATTTAGTTTTTTTTTTTTTCTGGTGAGAACATCTTTTTCCATGTGTTTGTTGTATTTTTATATGATTTGTGGTAAACTTTAGAGGGGGCTTCTTATGGTTTTTCTGTCAGAAATACAGAAATTGTGACTTTTTAACATAATGGTCAGAATTATGGGGTGTATTCCTGATAGATGACAAGCCAACAGATTCTCCCCTCTGGTAACAAAGGTTACCATGAACCTCTTGGGTAATTCCTTGATTAACACTCTCCTCGCTTTGCCTCTTAATTAAAATAACTCTGCTTTAAGCTCTTTTATCCCTGACCTCTGCCTTGTTCCTCGTTCTTCATGATGCTATTTCTTCACTAATGTCTATTAACTTTATCGAACCTATTCTCTAAGTGGGTAAGAGCCTCAGAAAGCTGGAAAGAAGATAAGAAAAACAATTAGAAAATTAAAAGAAAGAATCAAATAATTTTTTTAAATTATATTTTCAGTCAATTTCTTTTAAATTTTTAAATGTTATTTGTTGTAAAATCATTATGCCATGCTCATCTTCAATAATAATTAATAATAATTACTCTCTCGTCTTGTTACATCACAAAAACCATTAAAGATTGTTGTTCTACTGTGATAAAATGTGATCCATTTAAGTGGTTTTAATACTTTCTCAAGGCACTGAAAGCTATTTCACGACATATAAATGTCTTCAGTGTCTTTATAGTAATATTCAAAGTGCATGCAGGATTATTTGGAGAACCTTGCATGCTTTTCACACCGAAATCCTAAAAATTTCCCTGACAACCGTCTTGACATTGTCATCTGGAAAAGTAAAAAAGATCTCTCAATCAGCACGTCACATCAGAGGTACAGTACTCCTGTTTCTCACCGCGCCAAAACCAAATGTGACAGCTTCCCTCAACTGTGCTGCCGCTTTTAGTAAGAGAGCGACACGCGTGTGGTGGAATATTTCCCCCACCAGCAGCATCAAAGCTTCTCTATAAATACATTTTTAGATGCAAACCTACAATGACCCATATGCAAAGCAAACACACAGGCTAACCCTCTAATTAGTCTGAGAATGGGAAAAACATTGGGACATATCTCAGTGTGGATTAACACCTTCAGATATTCTTAATTACAATGTCAGAGTTTTGAATGTTTGCACTCGGTACATATTCTTAGACACACTGAGAAGTTAGCTACTTACTGGAACTGGTTGATTTTTAAAAAAATTTAACTTACAAGAAATAAATTTTGGAAATAACATGATGATAATAATATGTAACTGTTATAAAAATGCACTTCTAAGCTGCATTGTACGATTCTTAGATCGAGTGGACCTGCTTGCAACTGGGTGGTATACAACAGATCATTTCCCAATCAACTGACACACCATACAAATGCCATCAGATCATAATAACCACATTTTTTTTTAGTGTGGAAGTTGTTACAGAATAAAGGAGACTAATAGCTATTTTAATTGACACTAAGTGCAAAATTGTTCAGAAATTAAGTGGGAATAAACACAAACTTTCTCTGTCATGGGACAGAAAATGGTGGCAATCTTAGTGAGGCACAGTGATCTCACTACTCATACAAATTTTGCTAAACATATATATATAAAAAAAAGAAAGACATGAATTCAAATGTCCTTGTCTTTGTTTTGAAATATTAGTGAAATCCTGCTTTGTTGCAGAGCTGTGTAGAGCTGCCTGCTCTCTTCCTCACACATACATTCTGACGTTGCCTCCGGTCCTTCTATAAATAATTAATGATCATACATCGCATAATTGTTCTTAAAACTATTAGTATGTACTCCACCATCTGGCAAAAAAATATAATGCAAAGAGTCAATTTTCACAGATTGAAGTTCTTTATCGGCTGCACAGTGGAGTTGTTAATGGCCGTGTTGTCTTGAGCTAAACTCCAGCCGGGTGTCAGTGTATTCATGGGTTCTCTCTGGGTACTCCAGCTTCCTCTTATAATCCCAAACATATTACCCACTTGTACCAAGTGACAGCAATGGCTGCTGGAGAAAACCCTCCAGTAAGAATAAGCAGGTATGAACAATAGACGCATGAAAGACTTGGTAGTAAAAATTATGTTTCTCAAAATTTGAACTAAATTACTGGATTTTAAAAGGCCAATGTATGAAAACTAAAGCAATTTATTTACTTTATATGACCTAGCTTTGCAGGTGCAATGTTTCTCTGCAGTGGGATGCGCTTCATAAAACACTGCAGAACAAACTTGTTCTTATTGTACAGCTTACACTACAAGATCTGTATTAAACCAGTCTGCAGCCAATAAGAAGGATGCAGTGGAGACCAGCTGCAAAACAAACAAAATAATAACAATATAGAGCTGCAGAGAGCAAGAAACACAACATAAATGAAAAAGATTTCAATAAAGCTGTTTGTATCAAAATAATTTCTAAGGATTAAGACACGACTCAAGGTTGAAGGAAGTCTTAATAAAAATATGTCTACCTTCAGTTAAACCTCATCGAAAACCACAAACAAATCAATCCACTTATATTATTTATATGTAAATGTTTTAGCTTTCTGCATGTAACTACTCTTGTTTTATAGTTAATCTGTCAGCCTATTAAACAATACATTTCTTAAATTAACTCTGTGGCAAAACATCTGTCTTCACATTATTTATGCATTAATTAGTCCTGGGAGGAAATGTTTATTTATGTATTAGATGCTATTTGTTTAGAATAATACCACTCTGATTTATTTATCAGAGACATTTTGTCTCTGTGCAAAATTATGTTCAGTAAATGGATTTAGTCTTCTGACTTATTTGTCCTGGTGACTTCATTACAAGCAGGGGCCAATTTTGTTTTTAACGTCCCAAATTGCTACGCAAAAACTGATCATTATTGTATTGTGACCCTCACAGCAGGACCGTTAATGTAAATGTCAAATTAAAGATTTCATGACATTTATTATACATCTGGTACATTTGTGAAACATTCAAGTGAGATTTCAAGTATGAACAAGGCCCTCAAACAGAGGAAGCTACATACTCTGGTTTTGCCTCAGATCAATCAAAAGGAAATTTATAATACATTCAGATTGGCTATTAACAGAGGAAATCTGGCACACAACTCAGGGTGTCAGCCTATGGAGGGGTGACATCAGAGCATGGGGACAAGTTATCCATTATTTGGGGCTGAACAAAATGGTAGGTTTTGTATTGCTTTTTGTGATGCCCAGTTAATACGTCTGATGATGTAGAAGTTTGATTCTGATTTGAGGCTCCAAATTCAATGGAAATTAACATTCACTGTGTTTTTAAGAAATCTGGACTCCATCTGATCATGTGGAACATGCATTATAATTCAACAAAGATTAACATTTTAAGCTTTTCAGAATAAACATCATCTTGTATTGAGATCGCCATAAAAATATAGCTTTAATTAATGAGCTGTATTTGTTAAAATTATATATGTATATCTTAGTTCTTACAAAAGAAACAAACAAAAAGTTCCTTGTGCATACCCACTATATTCTGTGTGCAAAAATGGGGCACCATTTCTGCACAAACAGCTTCCAGTGCTGACTTTACTGTTACAGGTAAACAAGCCCGGATTTTAGCCTGGGGCTTCCTATGCACTTATACAGTTATTGCAACTGTATAACGATGGTTGAGTAGGGCCCGCACCTTGGCTCAAGCCCAGGGGCCCACACCCTCCTAAGTCCGGCCCTGCAGGTAAATAACTACAGTGAAGTCTTGATCTCATATGCAGGTGCAGGTGCAGGACCGAGCACTTTCATGAACCCAAAACATTAAACATGAAAACACGCTGATAGAGAGAGAGGTTGCAATTAAGACGATCAGAGGAGCGTCGCGAATGCATGAAGCTAAAGGATCCTGGAAATGGACCTTTTGTACCTTTACTTGTACATATTTCCAACAGTCTTTTTTTTTTTTTTTTTTTGGAAATGTTCTTATTTTCTCAAAGAGCTTTTGGCAAAACAATTATTTGCTTCGTCTGAAAGTGAAAACAAGGTTATTAAAGGCCTCATTGAAAGTCTGTTGATTATCTTGTTGCTTCCCCTCGTTCGCAGTCCCAACAATTACAAAGGTCTTTCCGCAACTGTTTGTGCCAAATTACAGAGAATTGTCCTTATGGTGTCTATTTTACAAGATTGAATCTTTCATATAATTTCCCAGCTCAAATATGCAAAATGCATATTCGCATATCGGAATCACGATAAGACTTTATGTAAACAAAAAATAAAATGCAGTAGCTTTAAGCGGATTAATATAGTTTATAGCAGAGAGGGAGAAAAAATAGTCTCACGAGAAGAAGTGGCAAAGACTAGTGTTAAACTTACCAGTTTTGTTCGTGGGAATTCCCTTTACATCGTACTGCAGGTGTCGGTGCGCTGCGCCTTCTCCAGCACTGGACCCTCGATCCACTCCAGCGCTCTCCAGGACAGCCGGCTGTCAGCCAAAAACGTGACCAGAATATTTCGCCTCCGTTTTGTCATAAATATTACAGCGGGAGGGGGGGAAACCCTCCGCGCCTGCAGATGCAGAGCGCTACAGCCGCTACTGTGTGGCTGTCTGCTCACTAATCCACTAATTCCCCCTGTTTTTGAAGCGTTTCTTTAACACGGCACCCAAACACCTGTCCCTCTCGCAAAGCGCGGACTTACACAGCATCCCACACACGGACCGGCCGCAGGCATGATCGTGCGCTAGCGGCACGCTGGAGCGCAGTCGCTCCATCCCAGCGACCAATACGGTGATCCGCACGGGGAGGGGAGGGCAGGCAGAGAGGATGGAGAGAAGGGGGCTTGTTGGGAGGGGAGGAGGAGATAGGGAGTCAGGAGGAGGTGTGGGTGGAGGGGTTGGTGGTGTGCATGGGTAGCGTTTCACAAGGACGACCTGAAATTCCTCAAGGGTGAACGCGCGTTTTGTAATTCAGTGAGATTTCCCAACTGCGCCTCCTTCCATCTTTGCCCTAAAACGCATTACGCACACTTGCTTGATCTTCCTCAGATGAAGACATGACTGGATATAGAGGCTTGATTTTATGATCGGCGCCCCTCCACTTTGGGGGACACTTTAAGACCCATTTCACATTTGCTGCAACACGTGGGGATTTCCTGTGAAGCTGTGAGCTGAACAGATTCACAGGTCCCGAGCCATGCTTACGGAGCTAAAGAGCATTTTTCACTCTGCTGAGCACTCTGTCAGAAGCTGTGTCAAGGTCACTGGCTGTTGAATTTGTGACCTTGTAGCACAATAAATAAAAACGTCCCCGCCAGTGCTGCTCACGTTGATTTTCCTCTTCCGATGGACTTAAATGGACATTTAAGTCCACATTCCGATGGACTTAAATGTCCATTGGAATGTGTGAGATATAATGTGAGAGAGAAGAATAAAGATAGAAGGCTCTCTGATGAGAGCAAGAGCTTCAAACTCCCTAATCAACAGTCAATAATAATAATAATAATAATAATAATAATAATAATAATAATCAGACAAAAACAAGTAGGCTGTATTTGAAAGTCTTGTTTTCACAAAGTCTGATAGAAAACTGCAGCTGTTTTCTAATGTGCCCAAGTTCCATAAAGCTTTTGATTTCGTCTCACGCTTGTGTTTGACCTTTTCATGCAAATAAACAATAACGTATAACCTTGAACGACAAACATTTAAGGGATCCAGAAGCAAACTGAGTGACTGCAGATACACAATATGCATGCATAAATTATTGCAAGTCTGAATCATTTCTTTTTGTCTTGACTTGAAGAAATGTGGTCATTATGTTGCTGACGATTTAAAAGAAGGAACATCCTTGGGTTGTTTGTGGTCCTTGGGACGATTTTGTTCAGCCCCAAAAACTGAATTTATGGAAAGAGTAAAGATATGAAATGGTGAAGGGGAAAGTTTCCAAATATTCTGAATGAAGATGTAGAAGAAATATCTGTCACTGTATAGTATAGGAGAGACTGGAGAATCTAAGAGGTCAATAGTAAGAAAGATATCATAATCAGAAAATTAATGTGGATATTGTAACACAGATGAAATATCTTTTTTTGATTTTCTGCAGTGGCACACTAAATTGCCATTTTCCTGTAAAAATCTTCCAGAAGTTTTGTTGCATTAAGTGGCATTTATTCTGTGCATCTAAACTAAAAAACAACTGTACTGCAGAAAAAAAAAAAAAACCTCCAATAACTTAGTTGCAAAAGTGGATACATGCTTAAAATATTTTTTTTTGTGGTGAACTTTTCTGCTTGTTTTCAGGATTTTGATGGCTTGACATGTCTTTACTTACCCTGCCTTCCCACTGTTCCTTGCAAAGGCTCCCAAATTGTGAGAACATAATTGTCCAAAACCTCATTCTGGTGCCTCCAAAGTTTTTATCAAAATTACTTCTGTACTCTGGCTAGAGATCTGTATAACTTTCATTTTCTTTTCATTAAGACATACCTTTATTGACTTAAATGTGAATGTTTGAAGTATCTGCGATGCTAAAATCCCTTTTCTTTTGTGTCAAAATTGACTGGCATGTGGAACTGTTCATGTTTTCATTCAACATGGCAAAAAGCCTAGTTTCTTGTGAAAAAAAAAGAAAACCCACATCAATACACTGCTACCACCACATTTCGCTGTAGATATGGTGTTCCTCTGGTTATTTCTGTGCAGATGTTTTTTCTTTACCAGAGAAATCTCTTGGGCTTCCAACTCAAAGTTCAAGTTTGGCTCCTTTCAGTTTTAGTCAAACCCAGGTGATTTCTTTGAAAGAAAAGGATTATGCTGTACAGCCTCTGTATAGACATATAGAGGAAATGGAGTCTCTTCCCACATGTATACAAAGAGTACTTGGCAGAAATTCCTGTAGATCTTGCAGTGTGGCTGACTCTGTCTTGGGACCCAGAATCACCGTTTTCTGTTCTGATTCTCCCTTCCTGGAAAAACATCCAGATTTCGTAGTTCTGTTGTTCCGCATTTCATCAAATCATTGATGTCTGTTTATCTATCTCTATCTTTCCCATGGCTAATACATTATTTCTTGAAAGATTTAATTTACGGCGTCAGTCAAGGTTGCAATTTAGTGAATAAATCCTCAAAAGCAGCTGAACTTCGTTCCTGGCTGAACAGATTTTGCACAATTTAATTTGAGTCTTTTGCTGTTTAATTCTAAAATTAAATCAAAAGGTGCTTCAACAAAGTTTTAGTCTGAGGATGTTCACACGCACACTACTTTAAGACGCTCAGTTTAAAAGGTAATTCAGCCATTCTTTACAAGTCTTTCCCCCCCTGACCCTCCTCACGGCCCTCCTCATTGAAAATGTGTTCCCTGTTTTTCCACTTCTTGTCTTTCATTACATCACATATTTCACAAGACATTGAGGGCACCCTACTGAGCCCCCCAGCTGTATCTTTTCTTCTTTTTTTTTCTTACTCCAGCAAACACTACAGCATCCCATTGCCTTTGCTACGGATCTGAATCTCTTGTGAAAACAGTCACATACAAATGCAAAGCTAGCCTGTGATTAGGAGCATCTGCCAAACACCCACGTGCCATATGCCTGCGCCTCTTAGCCAAAGAGGGAAAAATTCAGAAACACATACAAACATGCACACACAACACTTAAAAGAAATTGAAAATACATAAATATCATAATATCATGTGTGCCTGTTTCTTAGCCTGGTGTGGACAAACCCATGCATTTGAGCTGCACAACTGAACACTGCAGTGCATGCTAAGAGATCCTTCAGTGTGGATTTAGATTGCTTCTCATTTAAAGGAAAACATCTTCTGGCATACATTTACTATATTTGCTGATTTTTGTTCCTTCCACTTTCTCCGACTTCCGATAAAAGCCTCCAGCGGATCCATTTTCCAGATTTGAAATATTTACTGCAATTCACTCAAAGGAGAACAGATGGGGCATCAACCTGCAGCTTGTAGCTGTGGGTGAAGGTGTTGCAGTAATAGCTGAACCGCAGGGTTTTCTGTCAAGAACCTCAAAACCTAACACGTGACTTTGTCAACAGAGAGTGACATGTCTGTTCCCCCTCTGTGCAAGATCTCATATCGTGAAGTTGTTAAATGTCACAACAGAAAGATAGGACTCAAAAGAATGCCTTTTCCCCTTTGATTTTAAAAGCTGATATCAAACTATGACATTTATCTGTGATGTGTTTCCGTAAAGAAGTTTTCTACCAAAAAAGACATTGTAGCTGCCCTGAAAACATCTCAGCTTGTCAAAGTTTCTCTGCTTATTCTCAGGCTCAACCAAAATAAAAAAATCTTTAACCAAACTGAAAGCAGCCTTGTTAATTTGTGGGGCGACTCTACAAAAGGTCATAATTCACTAATAACTCTGCAAATGTCACTACTGATGGAGAACAATTTTTCTTCCTCAAGGTATCATCAAGAACATCAAAATCTTCTACTCTGGATTTGATCTTTTATTTACAAGCTGGCTAATATAAGCCATCTACAGTATAATCACGATTCTTCAGCAATGTGAATGTGAAACCTTTGAGTTATTTATGTCATTCACACTGACGAACGTGTATATTCTAGATGCTGAAATGTGGATTTCAGTATGACAGTAATGTGAGAGATGTTAGCACTGTTGTGCTGCAGCAAGTCTGTTTTATCTTTCAGTGCAATGTGCATGTTGTCACTCTGTGTGCTGGGCTTTTCTGCTGGTACTCAGGTTGTTTCCCACAGTTCAAAAACATGCATCCATTTTCTTCACTCTTTCATCTTGCTGGGGGGCTGCAGCATATATCCCAACAAACAATAGTTAACAGCTGAAGTTATACCCTTAACATGTCTTCAGTACATCGCAGGCCAACAGCAACAAAAAACATACACACAGGCTCACACCCAAAGACAATTTAGAGGAACCAATTGACTTAACAGTTATGTTTATGGGCTGTTTGTTCACAGGGAAAACATGATGACTCCATCAGAAACAACATTGTTAACACCTGCGCTTCTGTGCAGCTCATCCAAAAACATCTGTAAGTTAATTAGGTTAGACACTGTTAAAAGTCCGTCCGTTTGTTTAGCTCTATGTTACCCATCATGCATCTCTTCATTGTGTAGTTTCAATTTCACATAGCTGAGCACTTTGTTTTCTGTGCTTCTGTATGGCTCGGTGGCATAAAAATAGCGTCCACTGATAGCATCTACCATCAATCCTTCCTTTATCCCGTGTGTATGAAACCTGTGTTTAATTATGTAAGGATACATTTTCCTGGCTACCGATAATGCAAGCGTTTACTTATAATAACTCAAATTCTATGCTGTACTTTCCAGATATATTGTCATTATAGTAGTATATGCAAAAAATTATCATTAATTCATATTTTCTTACAGTTTTTGTCGTTTGTATGTTTATTGCATTTGACCGATAATACATGTGTGGGGTTTTGGTGCCCTCCAGTGGATTTCTGTGATACTACAGGCCATTTTCATCCTGCATCTATGTGTGGCGGTTTTTCCCCATATGGCTATTAATATGCACCTTTATTGTTTCTTCTGTTTCAGATAATCACAAACACACACAGCCACATACATATACATATGAAACCAAATATAAGCACCTCGTTACTATCTCTACCTCATCATCTTCTGTACCATCATCTCCCATGTATCTGCCATTATTACATTAATAAACCTTCTACACTGCACCAGTGGAGTTGGCCTATTCTTCTGACTGAGGAAGATTCAATTGATGAGAAATCTGAAATTAGA